TGCTGGCTGGGGAATTCTGGGAGTTGAAGTCCACGCAGCTTAAAGTAGCCAAGGTTGAGAAACACTGCTCCAAACGCTGCCTACTTATTATTATTTATTACACACATAAGGCCATCCAATTCCACTGTGACTCTGGACAGCATGCAACATTAATACCACGCAAATTTTAATTTCAAAATATAAACCAAAGAACAACCAGCTTCCAGAACCCCTCCAAACAATAAAATAGCCCTCTATAACCCACAAGTCGCCCACCCTCAACTCTCACCCAAGGCCTGGAAGAAGATGGAAGTTTTAAGAATTCTTTGGAACGAGATCCAATGAATTTTGAGGGGGATGTTCTTCCAGAAGGCAGGCACTGCAACAGAGAAGCCATGCTTCCTAGACAGTGATGTTCCTGGGTGATGATGTTTTTCTGCCTCCAAGAGAACTTTGAAATAAGAAGAGGTGCGAGTTTTCTTTTTTCCCCACTGAGCTCTGAAAGAAGGGGATGGGCGGTTTTGTGACTAGGCCATCCATTCTCCCCACTTAAAAAAGGCAGCCTACGCAAGAAAGCCATGTCCATTTATGAATAGCCTCTGGTTTCTATTGCTGGGTGGAAGCGAGAGGCAACAAGAAGCTGAGGATTTGGCAATGGCAGCAGCTGGAGGTTTGGAGGAGGCCAGCGTTAGAAAAAAGCTCGGTGAGGAAGAAGGGAACGACTTTTGTCACTTGCTGGAGAAAAGCCCCTGCTGAGTCACCCAACCGCAGCTGTTGGAGGAGCAAGAGGAGGAAGAATGCTGCAGCCACCACACAGCAGGGACTATGCATGCCCTCCAAGTTGTGCCATTGCTGCTTCGTCAGGATGATGACTGCCTAGAAGTCCCTGGGCAGCCCATGCTGGCAGTGCAGTGGCCTTGAGCAAGTTCCATTTCCAGCCAGGTGGAGTCATTAGGAAAAAAAATTGGCTTATGTAAACCAGACCCAACCAGCTAAATAACATCCTGACCTCACCTTACCATCTGGGGTGGCAGGTGGCCAGAGGCCAGTGGCAAAATCTAATTGGTGCTTTGGAGATCTGCCCACCTCCTACCTGTTTTCTAGATCTCCTGCCTTTCCTTCAGGAGATCAAAGTGGCATCTACAGTGCTCTTCCTCCCCTTTTCTTCCCCAGAGCATCACCCTGTGACCTCAAGTGGGCCGTGACAGAGTGACCAGCTCTCAGCTATTTTGGTAGTCTGTTAAGCAAGAAGTCCCAAGTTTTTCCATCCCATCTCTGGAAACTCTTAGTGATTTGACATGATTACATGTTTCCACTCTCACATTTTTCATCTGGCGACTTAACTGGCTCTTCAGTGCAGGAATCTCTGTCTCACCTTTATAGTCACTTTTTAAAAAACCGCCCTCACCTTTACTTTCCCCATACTCCCTTTTTCTCCCCCCCCCAACAGCATTCCTGGTGGCCCATCCTATCACTTCCTACGTGATTCTTGAAAGCTTATGCAATAATCAGCGTGTTAATCTTTCGGATGTCCCAAGACTCTTAGGGTTTTTAATTTTTCTTTGCAAAAGATAACAAAGCTTGCTCTCTAGAACCAGCATATTGTTAACACACACACTGTGTGTGTGTACTTCAGCCAGCTAACTAACTTTCTGTCTCGTGCCGTCTATTAGATCCTGAACGGCTTGGCTCAGACAACTGGTTGGCCATCGGTGGTGACGTGTGTCGGCAACTGGTTTGGAAAGGGGAAGTGAGTCTGGTTTCTTAATGCCTTGCAGATTGTTGTTTTCTTTCCAATCTCAGTTGCTTCATTTTCATTCCTAGAGGAAGTCTTTGATTTCTTCCCACACCAACAGGAAATGCAACGCTATGCTGTCAAATGGGACAATGGCTTGATTGATTGCCTGATATTTTCCTATGGTTAGCATGCTGGCCGCATGACTTCTGCCCTAGAGGAGAGCTGCCCCGTTTGATCTCTGCAACAACGCTCAAAGCTGGTTCAGATAACTGATCACAGGTCACTGATAAGCTTGATTGCTGGGCAGTGATCTGAACCTGGATTGCTCAAATCCAAACTGAACTACCTGTTACCCACTGTACCACATGGCTTTCAAACAGGGTGCAGGGCTGCCCAGTGTTTTTTGGCCCAGAGCTGCATTTAGCCTTTCAATGCTATTTAGGCACAATCAGGATAATGATGGAGCTGAGGCCAGAACACAAACTAAACGATAATTTAATTCTCTTTTCAGTTTTCTTTTAACTTAATTTAATGCAAAGTGAATAGGATTGCCAGAGTCCTTCAGGAGTGGCATAATCCTTGGGGCAGCAGGATGTATACTTGTGATGTAGTTAGAAAAAAGGGGAGCAGACTGGTGCCATCCAAATGTTTGGGGCATCAGTTCTCATTAGCTCCAACCAACATGGTCAGTGGTAAGAGATTATGGGACTGTCGGTCAAAAGTTCTGGAAAGTTTACCTGTCAACTGAAGCATTGGTCAAACTGCCAGAGAGATCTCATGAAATTGGTTCACACAAAATGCTGAGCCACAGCATGTGGGTTCCATCTCCCTCTGAGAACTAAGCTAGAAAAACCAGAAATTTCCAGTATGGTTTAGTGTCATCATGGGATGCAAATGTGAAATGGTGGAGCTTGTGTTGTGATGTCACAGCACATGTTTCATCAGTATGGTTAGGAGTAGACACCTAGAATGTAATATTCAGAGTAGGCCAGTCACTACCTCTGAGCCTAAGCTATAATGATAAAGTTGGGTCTTGTAGACCTTTTAATGAGACTCCAGCAAGTAGATGTCTCCCTGTTACTAAACATTGAGGATCCCATAGCCTGGTTGCCTCGAGTCGTGATCTAAATGGCCTCAGTATTTCCTAGGCATAATACTGCAAACCCCAAAACACAGTTCAGACATGTTTGATGACAATGAATGATGGTTTGATGTATCTGAATGGGACAACTAGGGTTCACAATCAGTAACCCAAGCAGAATGAGAAATTATATTTAAAGTGGCTTTTTACCCTTAGCTTAGTAGAGTACCTGAACTGTAAGGTGAGTGTAGAATCCTTGCCTAAAGTTAATTCATAATTGATGTAGGAACCAATGGAGCTGGATGCTTAGAGAGGTGACCCAAAAGCAGGGAAGCTGGTTTGTTTTGCTATGATTTGCTTGTGACATGCAAAATGGTTTGCTATGGTTTGCTTGGGACGTGTTCTTTTTAATTCTGAACTGGGCAGACTGCCTAAACTGAGTCCTAGTGGAAGCACCGATTAAGCCATTTTGGCTTTTGTTTCTTGCCAGGCGAGGTTTAATCATGGGCATCTGGAATTCACACACATCTGTTGGAAACATCTTGGGTTCCTTGATTGCTGGCATCTGGGTTTCAAAAGCATGGGGGCTGTCG